TGTTTGCATGTGTGTATGTATGGGTGGGGACTTTAAAAACATTTTTGTGTTTTTTTTTATTATTTTTCATGCGTGACTTTACTTTTTTTTTTGCAACTTTAATTTAAGGGGGTAAGGAAATCCCCTTATGTGATAGTAAAGAGGATGTGACAGGTCCTCTTTATGGAGACCCCTAATGTTACCTAGGGATGCCCAAAGAAGCGGATGAAGCAGAGATCTGCTTCATCAGCTTCTGAAGCTGGAGAGTGACACAAGAATGCGGAAACAAGAATAATATACATCACTTCCGCATTCTTAGAGGGGAACGGAGGGAGATTGTGTACCGATCTCCCTCTGATCCCCTGTCACAGAGCCACCATGCTGATCCCGGGCTTGCACCGGGCACAGCGGAGCCCGGGACAGCGGGAGGGGGGAGCCACACATACCGGCACATTGTACAAGCGATCCGCCGGCTCCATAGCCGGCGGATCGCTAGTATGTAAACAGGCATAGCTGCCTGTTTTTACATTTGGGCACTTTCCTGCTCGCGCGCAGGCGTGGCTGAGCGGACGTTTAAAAACGCCCGCTCAGATCCAGACAGCTCCCGGCCTGCCGTTTTTTTTACAATGGCCGGCCCGGAAGTGGTTAAACAAAACATTTTCTAATAGCTGGAAAGTTCAACTACTGAGACTGAAGTTGGCCCTACACATATTTTACATAGGTTCAGTCTCGCACATCAGCAAGATTTAACAATAACTGTTTCATGCACAGGCGTGCCCAGGCAATCTATTTATTTATATTCAGTCAGGGTAGTGCTTGCATTACATAGTTATTGGTGATTTCTGCTGATCTAACCAGTAGCGGAACTACCGCCATAGCGACCCATGCGGGCGCTATGGGGCCCGCAACCGAGGGGGCCCGGTCAGGAGCAAGACTGTAAGCTTAATCAGTTGTTCCAGGGTAGATCGGCATCGCAGATCGTATGTGCAGGAGAACCGATCTGCCGTGGAACAGCTGATTGGTCCTGAAATGTCACTTTTATCAGACTTTGTGAGTGCAATCTCACATTCCACAAAGTCCAATATTTCAGGACCGATCAGCTGTTCTGCCCTGGACCAGCTGACAAAGCGTTGGAATTCTTCGCCTTTTGCTGGTCACATATTTCAATGTCGAAAAAGTGGGCGTGATTACGTTAAAATGTGTGACCACGTGACCGGTCACACATTCCAACCCAGTCACAATCTTTGATAGAACACCAGTGTTGGCGATTACACTGCTGAGAGAGGAGGGGGGCGTGGCTGCGGTGCCATTGTCTTCAATGCACCACCACGCCCCAGAACGCAGGGGGGGTTAAGTGTGCGATATAGTGCGTTCCAGCAGCTACCGCTCTGGAACGCACTGTAATTTGTGTGAATAAGCCCTAAAACACTTTTAAACCTACTAACAGATCAATTCTAAGAAAAAACTCACTGGCAGTAAAGAACTGTAATCAAGATATGAAATTCAATAATGAATATGGACAGTAAAGATATGCTTACCATTATCTACTGTGGGAATAGTTTTCGAAATAATGTGAATTTATTTTGCCTATACTAAGAAATTAATAATTTAAGTGACCGTGTGCTACACTCCTTTGTTGCGGACAGCTGTGTACAATGTAACTATTTAAACACCTTTTAAAAACATTTGCATGCAACTTAAAGAAAAAAAAATTAATTGTTAATTCTCTTATGATGACCTTAAGAAAATGTTTATACTGACACACAAGCTCAGCAGCACTAACATGACCCGGGAGAGAAACTTTAAAATTCTACCATGGTGATGTCCTGCCACTACACAGAAAATATCCCTCTCTGCCTCTGACCGATGCTGGTGCTGCAAAGTAACTAGTGGGACCATGCTACATACACTGAGTGGCCAGATTATTATGACCACCTGACGTTTGTAGGCAATCTCGAGCCAGCACTGTGTCCTCCGGCCGATGCCGGCATCCGTCTTCCAGGTTCCGTTCCTTGTGAGCGTCCGCGTAGCAAGGGGGTGGAACCGGCGGGAATTTTAAAAGTAAAAATAACGGGGGGAAAATAGAACAAAAAAAGGAAAAGAAAAATTTAAATAATCAGACAGGCAGGGAGGTTAATATACCTCTGGTCTACATAGTGAAGTATTGAGAGACATCGACTCAGATTAGAATTCTTCTATAGGGATTGGATGTTTCCAAATACCCTTTGTTAGAACTTCCTACCCCTTTCTCTGCTAATCTTTTAAGGTTATCTATGAACAGGCCTTGAATTGCAGAGAGATCTGAAATAGCACTATAGTCACCAGAGTAACTTACAGCCATGGTGTATGATAGATTCAAAGAATATACCACCACTTGGAATACCTGGATGATTTTTATGGGTTCAGTTTAGTTTAGGGATTCTTTCCAATAACTCTAGTTACTACACCTCTATCAATAGCATTAATGGCACTCCTCCCCATGCACACCTATTCCCTATCCCCCTTCCCCACCCCTTTCTTTCTTTACCCATCACTTTTATTTTCTATATTTTCCTTATACCAGGGGCTACCTTGCCATGAACAACTCATCTATGCCTCACTCTAACACACCCATGATTCAAACCTCCAAAACTTTACCCAGGAGCTGAATGCACCAGCTAACAGCTGGTAAATTGGCATTGACGACTTGTTGGTTCCTAATAACATCTTATTTATCACATTGCTTGTCTGCTTTTCTTGCACTCTTTCTGTATGTCGAAAATGCTCAAAAACATTTACACATTATACATTTGTGTAATTAAAAACAAGAATTATCAAAAACCATAAAAGACCTTTCTGCCTGCATACATTACATTGCTTTCAAAACTTGATTATTCTTACGTACAAATACAGCACAAAAATAACATGGATTTATTATCAACTTCTTATCCAATGGGATCACAATGCATTTAGAAAGAAAAAAAATTGTGTTGATATATCTTTTAATGTCTAGATTAGTAACTGCAACCTTTCTTTAAACTGTTGCTTTCTTCTATACGGAAAATAAGTAGTGCTTTTGACTGTTAAAGTTTAAGTGATACTCCAGACCACTTTGAATGGAAATGGATCCAAATTGCATTAACGACTAAAGTTAATTATGGCTGGACAGCGAATTACCTGACAAAGTATCCTGCATTATACTAATGGTGTGAATCTCAGTGGTCACATTAATTTTCTCAAAGGTTCTGCGCACATTCTTGCTTAATTAAAATAACCTTCAGTGATATTTACGTGGGGCTGAAAATAAGCCTTGCACTACATATCAGTTTGATCTGTTGCTGCGCTAGTGTGACCTCACTTAGCAGTTAGTGTTTCTGACTTAAGCTGACTTCAAGGAAAATCTGCTAAAATGACATTTCTATTTTAAACAGAAATGATTTTAGATGAATGAGCACAACTAAAGGCTGATCGTTAGACAAACAGTGCATTAATTACTTACATATGCTTGGTTCTAAATGTGTAAGTTCTTTTGCTGCAATCAATAAATGGTTATATTTGTTTTTGTATCATCGTTATGCAATTGAAAGCATTTATGTTTGATTTGATGTTCCATGTTATATACACTACCTGTAAGGGAACTACCCATAGAACATACAGTATATGGCAACTATAATAATTTGAATTTCACATCACAATGTTCTTAGACAGGTGTTTACATTGGAATACTTCCGCTCTATACCTATTATGGTGACAACTCAAACTTTTGGATTATCCAATCATTTCAAGTCCTTGTGGCAGTGGTAACCAGGACAAATAGAGAAGGTGAATCCTCCCAACACAATCAACAATAAAAACAAAACTTTACTGGGGTTGTAGCCCTTTCCCACACTATCCATACTACAAATACACATTTCTGGGTGTGTATACAATTTAATTTAGTAAATTATTTTAATTGTTTGATTTTTTGTGAAAATACTTAGTTCTATCACTGTATCTAATTTACATAAGGACACATTTACCCTAAAAGCTGATATTTATCTTTACTTAAATCTTCTCTTCTTTTCTTTAGCCATTGCATAGTACCTACGCACATATACTAGTCCTCTCAGAATGTAAAACAGGATGACTAAAGTTGTTTTTGCAAATGACCTACAATATAGTCATTGGGAAATCTGAATTAAAGTGTTTCGCTTTTGCAGTCAAAATTGAGAAAAACAAACTATGTTTGTTTTATGTTCCCATTCACATAGCATACTTAAAAATATTTTTTTAACAATCTATTTCCTACCTTTTAGATATTCCTTTGATGAAGGCCTTTGTGCAGATTCCAAAAAGTAGAGGGTCAAACAAAGTGTCCTTTTATACAATTCTTCTAAGTCTTTAACCCTTTGTTATGACAGACATCATTCACCTCTACTGTAGTCTACACCTGATAATTAAATCTACAAGCACAGTACAGATAGGGTTAATTAGAGTAAACATTCCATAGCTCCGTCTTTAAGTCTTTAACATTACATAGGGGGAAGCCAGGTACAATTTTTATGCCAGTAAAAAAAAAAAAACACTAACTGTAAGGAGCAACTCTGCTCCATCAGAAGAATGCAGTTGGGTGTCAATTGGGTTACATTTTCCAACATGTCCGGCATAGATTTCAATTCTCGGGAATAATGGAGTTCCTTTTTTTAACATTTCACTATGCTATGTGAATGAAAACCTGTACAAAAATATAAAGTAGGTGTTGTCCCAGTTTGGCTGCAAAAGTGGAAATACACTTTAAAGCTGGTCTTTAGGCAGATATATTCATTGCAGGTATTTTATAATACAATAAGTATAAGAGCCAGATTTTGATGGTACCAGCCTTTTGCAATACCCTATGCAGCAGAGATCAAACTGGGTGCGGGAGGGACAGCATAAGGAACCAGTTAACTCATTTGTAGTGCTTATATGGTACCATGTAACATGGTATTTTTAGAGAAGCTTCGGATTTGTATTCACCATGTGAGAAATATAATCATGTTTTCTCCCCCTTTTTTGTATTACAGGTTTCTGCATTGAAAAACAGGCTTAGAAAGGTCTCCACAACTACAGGGGATGGGGTAGCACGAGCTTTCCTCAAAGCCCAGGCTTCTTTGTTTGGGAGCTATAGAAGTGCATTGAAAATTGAGCCGGTAAGTGCATATTATTTTCTTGCAAACCCTTCAAGACCAGAGTAATTTTTGCTTCTCGGTATTGGATCAGTTTTGGAAATGTGGAACCGCAAGAAACCTGTTCAATACAAAGCTGAAATACACAGAGCATATCTGAAGTGCCTTAACTTACACATGATCTCAATTTCTGTTTATGCATGACTTCTAATGCCATCTTGATACTTCCACCCTGCTCTTTGGATAATCTTTGTACCTTGAGCTGTACATTGTGCAGTAAGGGTTTAAATCACAGAGGTTGCTGTGGCAAAAGGGTTGCTGTGGCAATCTTCTGTATTTCGGTACATGTATGGGTTTAATACTTGCAATGTTTCATTTAGTATGCAAATGTATTTATTTATTTATTTTACTTTCACATGCATTTATCTTTTTTCCACATTAACAGGCAAAACACATTGTTCAGCAAAAGTTACACTTACCGAGATTGGGACAAACCATATAAAACTACTCAGGGTGCTTACAACAGTCGGCTTTTATTTATGTGGTTTAAAATTATTTTTCCAAAAGAAAAAGACACAAAAACCTGTTACTGTAACTGCCTAAAATTGTTAGCCCGGCTTTGTTTGTCCATTTAAAAATATCCATCTAGGACTACCCTGTCCAATGCTGTACTTTCTTGGGAATTAGCTGCATGTGAATTTGTTCACACTGGCCTAGCTAAATGTAATATTTATCAGCACACAACAATTTGTTGATAATATGCACCTCCTTGTTAAAAAGGGCATTTAACCAAAACATTTTATTATATGAAGTGGAATTAAAGTACACTATGCATACCCCGGGTGTTTCCCATAATGTCTAGGTATACAGAGCATATTTATACATTATGGCACACTTACCTTCCAAATCTCACTTTTGCAGTTATGCAATGGCTGTGATCTCGCTCATCGCCACTGCTGAAATCCTCACTGGTCTTTTTATATGCACAGTGTATTTGTCCATCTTGATTAGCCAGCTTGGTATGATGTAACTCATGCGCATAAGAGTTGTAGCATTCAAGCACCTAAGGCATGCCAAAAATATACACTGAGCTGCGCATACATGGATCTGTTTACATTTATAAGAAAATTGCTAGCAGGTATGGCAAAAAGCTTTTATGGCAGAAGAGACCTATGGAGGCTGATATATAAATGTTCCACCCAGCTGGTCCAATGCCGTTTGTACAGCACTAATGACCATAGATGGTGCTGAGGAGCATAGGGAATTCCTATGCTCCTCAGTGCCAGCTATGGGCACTAGTGTCGTGCGAACAGCATCTGGCCAGCTATATGCTGCGCTGAACATTTATTAATCAGCCCCATAGAGTATCTTCCACAGTAAAAGCCTACCTGCATTTTAGTTCCAATTTAAAAACATTCAGCTTAATGTAGAAGCAAGGGATAATTGCAAATATAGAATAAAATGTTCCCATAATAGTTCATATATGGTATATATCTCTTGAAAAGCTCTATAGCTCCATGTCAGCAGCTAGCGATGTGTTCATCATTGCAGTAAACTCAGATATAAACATGGATATAAAGTAGCTCCGATCTTACCAGCTCTCACTGTAGACAATAACCTCATACATTTTTGTCTGGCATACATCTTTGTGCCAGACCTGGTTTGTTTGGCAACTTGGCAGTAAGTAGTGATGCCCTTCAACCCAGTCTGGGTTCTTTTCACCGAGGGACACGTTGCAGAACTTTTACATTTGTAGGTTAATTTGAACAACAAATGTCTTTTTTGACTATTCTTTCACTTGCTGTTGTGGGTGACAACTGGCCTGTTAATGTGCTTTGTGTACCCTATGAGCAGCATCAGCACAATTCTACTTGCCCAGTGGCCAAAAGAACCAAACGCATGCAGAGTCTGAACAAATTACTCGATTACTCGGCTTCAACATACACAAGAGCTTGTGGTATCTCTTTGACTATTTCAAGGCCAGTCACATCAGTCCAGTATCCAAACTACACTAAATAAAGCTGAAGAACAGAAAAGGTTAAACAATTTAAAATCCATCTGCATATTTTTGGGACATTCACTACTCCTTTCGTGATATTAAAAAAACAAAGGAGTTTGAGCGCTGACTATGTAGACTAAAATATTACAAACCATGATTTTCCAGTCCTGTTCTAACTGCATGTGCAGAAATTTGAATCTTTGTTCCTTTGCTTTGACATACCTCCTACTCGGCATTTAAGCATATTAGGGCTGAAGCAGGGAAAAAATGCTAATTTGAAATGGATTTTTGGATTAAAGAGAAGCTCAGATCAACTGGCAACACAGTGGACTGTTAATATTTTCCAGGAAACATTGCAGGTTTGCTAAAGTTGCAAAGTTTACTCTTACATTTTATGTAGTACAATGCGGCTAGATTGGTGGCAAATCTTGCGTGTGCTTCAAGAAATAGGACCAAATCTGTTGTCTTTGGCCCATGTTACATGAGCAATCAGGTCACTGGCAACAACTTGCTAATAGGCTATGTACCTTTTGCGATAGAGTTGCTCCTTTTTTGGCCTGATCAGCGAGATATCACTCATTTGTTGCTCCCTCATGTGCAAATACGATTTGCCAGCAAAGGGGCAATTCTAATAAAGTATGTGGAATTCTCGGGGTGTCTAGTCTTGTTCAGTTTAAATTTGAGCACAGAGAACTATTTCTATAGGCAACACTTTGCTCCGTTAGGAAGACACAACAGGAAATACATAGAAATCTCTTCAATCCTCCTCTACAGCTGTTCGTTGAACAGCTGTCCATATGGTAAGACTTCCTCCCACCTCCTGTTCTGGTGACAGCTGTAAAATGTTAACTTTCCTATCACTTCTTGTCTTGGTGACAATGATCAACAGAAAAAAAGGGTACATTCCCCATATAGGGACACAGACAGCTATTAAAATCTAAGTGCAGTTCCTTTTTTTCCCTACTTTATCCAAAACTAAAATTAACGCACCATTCACGCAGGGCTTTAGGCTTTGGCTGGGAATTCTGGCAGCAAGAACCTACAGATTATTGCAACAGGAATCCCAGGTGTGTCCATGCAGAATGGGCCATTGTGCCGTTAATGACAGGCTGAAGGTGCCCGCATTTTTTAGCGGCAGTCCACCTGTACTCATACATGGTACAGTTACCTGCGCTTCTGCCTAAATGACTGTCCTTGAATGCAGGCAGATTGTGCCCAGGGACAATGACCTATCTTGAATCATAAATAATTGTATTGAGGAATCACCAGCTGCAGCCTAAAGCATTGTGTGAATGTAGCCTAAGGGCCCATTTACACCTATGCACGTGCCTTGGTAACATACACACATAAGTGTGAATGGGCCCATATAGTTAGTTTCTCTGCAAGAGCGCACTAAACTGCCATGCATAGATATGAACCAGCCACATAGAAAAGAATAGAATTCTGCTTCAAATGCATTCTATGTAGTACAATTCTTCAGGAAACAACCGCTGGCAAAAAACAATGGCAAACCTAATTTTATAATTGGTCAACTTGCATTGCAAGTGCTTTTAATAGAAATGGCAATACATGCCAATGCATTAAAACACTCCTGCCCAAAGCAATAATAATAATTTTTAAAAAACATAAAAATAAAGTTGGGTAGGTGTTGTGAAGCTAGCCAACACCTAATATCCTAATCACTTTTGTCCATTTCCTGAATTAAAACACATGAAATCCTTTTTTTCCTATATGGTTGGTTCATGTTTATGCACTACAGTTTAGTGTGTTTTTAAAGGGAAACCATAGGGGCCATTTACATTCACACAGGTGTGTAGGAATGCATGCCTGTTTTAATACATTCTGTGTAGGCCCTTTGCTTTAAAAATTCATATTTGAATTAAAATCAAGTAGCCTTTTTTATGTTTTTGTAATTTTAAATAAAAATAATTTAGTTTTATTTCATGTTCATTATTTTTAAAGATTGAGGGTGGCAACACTTCTAACTTCTACTGGTCATTCAAAGTTTTGTCCTCTGACAAATAAAACAACTAAGTTTTCTGACTCACCTTCCAGCTCAATATTTAATGTGCAATGGATGTTATAAAAACCTTGCTGTGTGGAGGTGTACATGAACCATGGGCAGGAAGAGAATGTATTGATGTGTTTTGTCAGAACAAAAACATTCAGCCCTTGTCTTGTTGTAGGTCTCTAATCTTGCAGCGGAATGCTGAGTAACATTGATTTGGGTCTGTGTTTGAACAGTAAAGAAAACCATTACCAGCAGTGCGGGGGAGGTTCTGGTTTAGTCTCTTATTTACATCGTTAGTACATCTATTGTATCCTAAACAAATAGGTAGAAAAAAAACCCAACAAAAAACAGGAAATTAGTGTGATTAGAACAAATCAAATCTCGATGTACAATAATTATGGAGATGTCACATACCTTGGTGTGACATATATATGTCTTTCAATCAAATGTACAATTTATAGAAGAAAAACATAGTGTCTGTGTTGACCATAGCGAGCAGTCATTTGCCTACTTTGATTTTTTACATGAGCTGTGATTGATATATGTGATAAATGTTTTTGGGGTCCATAGTGTTTTGTACAAACTATATTGTGGAGAATGATGTGAATTGTGGAATGTGCAGAATTGCATTTAGTCCTTTTGAAAATGGTGTTAGACATTTCTTAGATGTAGAAATGTAAAAAGCATGAAAAGGGATCTAAGGGATCCTGAAAGCTATAGCTGTATAAAAAGGGGTATCACTAAATCCCCAAGCTTTCTATCACATACAGTGATAGATATAATGGAACACCCTAGGCTGCCCCACTGTAAACTTTGCTATACATGATATAATCTGGGCTGCCCCACCTGTACACTGTGCTGTATGTGACATTCTCCAGGCTACCCCAATCCATACACTGTGGTATTCATCTGCAGATTTTCTGTGGTCACATGGAAAAAGTGCAACAGATTCCTCCAGCTACGCTAAACTGTGTGGATGGAGGAATGTCCCACTGGGCCGAGCTTCAGTATCTT